CCTGCCCACCTACGCCACGCATGCCAGCCGCGCACACCGCCCGCACATCCGCGTGCAGCCTATCTTCACCCGTCTCGCGCGCACTATGCTCTAGTGCGCGCACTTCTGCCGTCGCCCGTGCCTCCCTCTTGCGCGCATGGTAAGCTCGACTTGCGGTGTTCTTGAGCTGCCTAGCCACTTCCGCATCATTCCCGTCCCCTTCAAGTGATTCCTTGTCCTCAAGGATGAAGTTCGGGAACTGATCGCGCATCTCTTCAAGATCTTCCCACGTGGCTTCTTCAGATGGCAATTCTTCCCAGTCAACTAGTACTTCCCAACGATAGCGCCCTGCTCTCTTTTCCTTACGGTACTCAATCGCTCGTTTTGGTCGAACTATGACCCTACCATCGGTTGCGGTTGCAGGTAACTCCTCACAATACTTTTGCGCTTCTCCCAAACTTCTCTTGAGTTGTGAGACATGGATAACTGGGTGAATTTGCGAACTTTCGGGTAACTCTAGGCTATATGCTACCTGACCAATGCGCTTCAGAATCTGATAAGGTCCGTAATAGCGGACGCCTAATTTAGTGGCGGCTCTTTGTGCTGTTGTGCGCTGTCTGAATGGTCGTAGCTTTAGGTAGACATATTCACCTGGTGCAAAATTTTCCTCACGCCTTTTCCCATCTGCGAAGGCTTTGGTTCGGTTAATTGAGCCTTAGAGATTTTTCTTCAGCTCACGTAACATCAAATCTCGTTCCTCTAGTTCTCAACCAACCTCATCGTTGACCGTACTCCCCTCCGAATAATTGAACAGCGTTGGGGGTTTTCGCCCGTATACCAACTCAAATGGCGTCATCTTGGTCGACTCGTGGTAAGTGGTGTTGTACCAATACTCAGCCCAGGGTAAAAAGTTTTCCCACCGCTTTGGGAATTGATGGACGTAGCACCTCAAATACTGCTCAAGGGTTCGGTTGGTTACCTCAGTTTGTCCGTCTGTCTGTGGGTGGTAGGCTGAGCTCATAGATAATTTAGTCCCTTGCAACTTGAAGAATTCAGACCAAAAGCTGCTCATAAAAATCCGGTCTCGATCAGAGACGATGGATCGTGGTGCTCCATGCAGTTTCATTACATACTCCACAAATAATCTAGCAATTGACTTTGCGGTGTAAGGGTGGGTAATGGGTATGAAGTGAGCATACATCGTGAGACGATCCACCACAACCATAACACCGTCAAATCCATTAGAATTCGGTAATCCCTCGATGAAATCCATAGTAATGTCCTCCCAGATTGCCTCGGGTACTGGTAGCAGTTGCAATAGCCCACTCGGTCGTCGTGAATCAGACTTAGTGCGCTGGCAATCATCGAATCGTGCTATGTTGTCTCGGACGGTACTCTGTTGTCTGGGCCAGAAGAAAGTGTTGGCTATTCTCATCCACGTGCGATAGATACCCGAGTGGCCTCCAACCTTAGAGTCATGGATGTGCTGCATGATCTGCTCGCGTAACTGCCCACTGACGGGAACATAGACTCGACCTCGGTGTGGAAGTAGACCATTATGCAACTCGTAGTCGATAGCAGTTGTCTTACCTGCTTCTATCGATTGGCGCAGCTCCTGGCAATGGGTGTCCTCTACTTGCGCCTTCCTGATCTCTTCCCAAATGGTCCAAGTAGGCCCAGTGATAGCATTCAACTCGGCTACATCTGTTCGTCGGGATAGTGCGTCGGCTACTGCATTCTGTCGACCCGGTCGATAGATTATCTCGAAGTCAAACCCCATAAGTTTAGACACGAACTTCTGCTGCTTAGGGGTCACAATCCTTTGCTCCAATAGATGCTTAAGCGGTTGTTGGTCGGTGACAATCTGAAAACGTCGGCCTAATAGATAAGGCCTCCAGCACCTTACAGCCTCGACAACTGCTAGTATCTTCTTCACGTACACCGATAGACCCAACCGGGTAGTACCTAGTGCCTTGCTGAGATAGGCTAGGGGTCGTCCCTCCTGCACTAGCACAGCTCCAATTCCAATGTCACTCGCATCGGTGTGTACCTCGAACAAGACATCAAACCTGGGCATGGCGAGTACTGGCATTGTAGTCATGGCTTCTTTCAGTTTCCCAAATGCCTCCTCGCTAGCTTCGGTCCATGTGAACCCGCCTTTCTTAGTCATCTCTGTCAATGGCTTGGCGATGGTTCCATAATCCTTCACGAACTTTCGGTAGTAGCCCGTGAGTCCTAGGAATCCTCTCAACTGCGTGAGACTTGTTGGCTTAGGCCAATCGACCATAGCCTCAATCTTTCGTGGATCGACCTTCACGCCCTCGTGTGATATGAAGTGCCCCAAATACTCAACCATCATCTGCACAAAAGAACATTTGGATGGCTTTATGTAGAATGAGTTGGCCTCCAGAATTTCGAGCACTACTCTCAAATGCCCAAGATGTTCGCCCCATGACTTCGAATAGATCAGGATATCATCAAAGAATTCCAGAAAGAACTTACGCAGATACTCCTTGAAGATAGAATTCATGGCAAACTGGAAAGTGGATGGGGTGTTGCATAATCCGAATGGCATAACAAGATACTCATATTGCCCCTGGTGCGTACGAAATGCTGTCTTTGGAATGTCGGCTTTGTGGAGTCGAATCTGATGGTAACCAGCTCTCAGACCGAGCTTAGAGAAATAGCGTGACCCAGCTAACTCATCGAGCATGTCATCAACGCTCGGGATAGGAAATCGGTCCTTGATGGTCGCAGCGTTCAGAGCTCGGTAGTCAGTACAGAACCTCCATGTGCCGTCTTTCTTTTTGGCTAACAGGAACGGAGAAGAAAACGGTCTCTTGCTATGCTGTATTAGTCTTGATTCTAGCATCTCGGCCACTTGCCGTTTGATCTCGGTTTCCTGAAAGTGAGCATACCTATAAGGATGAACGTGTATGGCATGCTGCTCATTGATCAACGGTATGCGATGATCGAACTCCCGGTGTGGGGGTAGTCCCTTAGGTTCGCCCAGTACTCCCTCAAATTCCTGGAGAAGCTCGTGCACATCTCCCTGCTGTTGCTCCTCTTGATCTATGTGCGCCTCAGTCTTCTCTACTACTACGACAAATATTTGGCCTCCACCCCGCCAAACCTTCTCAATACTCTTAAGCCCTACTTCTTTGGCACCTTTTTCATTGCCCGCACTCAGTGTGAATTACTGACCTCCGGCGTTGAATTCCATAATTCCTGTTCGATAGTCGGTGGTCACCTTGCCTAACCCTTCGAGCCATTGTACTCCTAGGACGACATCCGGCCCAACCAGAGGTAAGGCATAGAGATCAGCCTTCACCGTAACTCCGTTGGACCTGATTGGCCCCTTCCGAAAGGATTTAGTGCATTGCAGCCTCTCACCATTGGCTACTCGTACCTCAAAAGGTTCGAAATTCGTGGTTGGTAAGTTCATCTTCTGGGACAAGTCAGCATTGATGAAGTTGTGTGATGACCCGTTGTCTACTAGCACCACCACCTTCCGATCCTTGACCCAGGCTGGCAATCGCATCGTTCGAGGCCCTCGTATCCCGGCCATCGCGTGCATTGAGATTTCTGCTTCTTCGTCAGGTCCCTCAACTACGATATCCTGATGTGGTTCCTCCTCGTCCTCAGATCCTTCCTCATCAGGATAAGCAACTTCGATCACAAAGGCTTGCTTACGCTGATGACCTGGTGTAAACTTCTCCTCACACTTGAAACATAAGCCTTTCTCACGTCGACGTTTAACTTCCTCGGGAGACAGCCGCCTCACTATCGACCCCGCTGGCCGATTATTGATGCTCGGCCGTGCGCCGGCCGTGGCTTAGTTCGGCCCCGTGCGTCGCGTGTTGGCGTATCGCACATCCGCCCGTTCCCTTCGCGTAGAGACCAGATGGTCTTCTCGTCGGCGGGCCACCTCCATGGCGTTATGCATCTTGTCTGGCCGCTCCAGTCGGACTTCTGCGGCTAGATCGAATCTCATTCCAGCTACGAAGGCTCCTACTAGCGCATCTTCAGACCAATCCCGCACACGACAAGATAGTCGTTCAAACACCTTGATGTATTCACGCAAATTGCCTGTCTGTCGGATTCGTGCGAGAGCCTCATTATAATTATGGTAATCGGACGTGCCAAATTGAGTAAGCAATTCTTTCTCAAAATCAGCCCATATAATGACCTGCTTCCGCCTACGGTAGATCTGGGAAAGCTACTGCCACCATACGTTGGCCTCACCATCTAAATAGAATTTTGCGTACCTTACTCGATCGTGGCTGTCGGTTTCATTCAGTTCAAAATATTGCGCGATTCGGTTGAGCCAAGCCTCCGGATCA